TTTAATCCCGATTAATCGCATGAATTTCATAGTTAACTCGCGATTAATCGCAAATTAGTCACACATTTGTGTGGGTGTGTGTGTGTGTGGGTGTGTGTGTGTGTGTGTGTGTGTGTATGTGTGGGTATAGACCATAGACTGTATAGAAACATCATGGTGTCATTATGATGATGATAAACAATCTGTAAATATTTTGTAAATTTGTTCATGTAAATACTCTATGCTGTTTCTCTGTTTACTTTCAGTATATCTATGACTGTATACTGTTTGCTTGTATTGCCTTTTTTATTAACCCCTCCCCCCCATCTCCCACTTCATGTCCCCCCCCCCCCCCCCCTCCTATGCAGTGTTGTGCCAGTTCACAGCTTTTCTGAACTAGTTCAAGTTCAGTTCATACATGCTCAAAGTGAACAGAACACATTCAAAGTTCACATTTTTAATTCTGAACTAGTTCAAAGTTCAGTTCATTTTACTTTTTTCGTGAGATAAATACATATTTTTTTCACACTACGAGCTATATATATATATATATATATATCTCCTGTACACCCACAGGAGGAGAGCCTTTTGACTACAAAACAGACAAGATTTATATGGTTTTCAATGGGAGCAAAACGGAGTTGCCCCATCTCTGCTCATAAACTACAAACAGTAATGCGCTGCAGTGCGTGTGTCTATACTTTATGTCAAATGTAAACGCTAACTCACCCTGTGTTTTCATCATGACTCGGGCACATGTGAAAAGCACCAGCTCACAGCGCCGCACCGCAACACGGAGTCGGGGTGCGTTCACAGACGGTGGAAACCGTAGGAATTTTTAGATTTCGGCGGAAAAAGTGCGAGAATACAGGAGGGAGGAACTTTCTCTTGTTGCGTTTTAAAAGAGAAAACAGATTCCAACGTTCATAGTGATGTCTGCCGTTCATGACACATAAAATGAACTAATTCACGTTCAAGTTCTTTTTTTAAAAATGTGTTGCGTTCAGTTCAATGTTCACGAAAAAATGAGCGTGTTCAATGAACGCGTTCTTTTGAACTCGTTCACGCACAGCACCTATGTGCCCTTCTGGGTTTCTTCTTTGGCCCCCTGTATCTCCAACTACATATTGTTTGTAATCTCTGTCTACAATGTATCTGAACTAGTCCTTTTCTTTGTTTCTATTTTTCTTTCTGTCTATGTGTTTGTCTGCAATAAAAAGTAAAAAAAAAAAAAAAAATAAAATATCGCGCGATAAAAAAAATGACGCCGTTAATATTGATTTGCGTTAACGCGTTAATAACGCAATATTTTGGACAGCACTACTAAAAACATACACAATAGAAATTGGAAGTCTAGAAGTTCGAGTGCGCCAGCTGTGCGGCAGTATCCCTTCTATCATTACTGTGTGTGGAGTGAATGCAACATACACCAAACTGTAAAGTGCTTTGGGTGACCTTGGGTCTGCAAAAGACGCTATAGAAATAAATACTACTTACCAATTGGGGAATGATCTTTACAAAGATTTGTCTTGGTGCTCAACAGATAAAACAACATGCCGTGTCACAATTACAATGCAATAGTTTAAACAGCTCTATTTGATTTAAACACAGGTACTATTATTTTACCCTATCCCGTGAGGAAACTCAACCAAAATAGATTTCCTTAACTCTTCTTAGGGCGTCTTATCTTATTCCCTCTCCATTAATTAGGTGAAGTTTGTCTCAAAGCTGAAGCAACCAGAGACATCCAGCGTGAGCTCTGGGGAGATGAATACTTAAGTCATAGCTATTTTACTATATCTTTTTCACAGGATTTTTCTTAATAGAACCTCTGCGTTGGGTAATCCCTGTGCAAATTCCCTCCTGTGACACTTCTGTCTGCTTTTATTGGTGTCAAAATGAAGCGCTTCTACCATCAAATAATACACCTGTCCCCTGGCTCCGTGTTCTAAACCACTTGAAGTAGAGCTTTGGGTGGTTTGTTTTCACTATCTTTTTTCCTGTTACGCTTTCGTATGTCGCTGCACTATTGACACTCGCTGGTATTGATAATATTTTTAGTGGGAACCCGGAATAGTTTTAACAGGTAGCGCACACTTGAAGTAGTATGAGGTAAAAAGTCTCAAAGCAGTGGAGGTACAAAGCCGCGCTGGCAGCTAAGTCTAATCAGACAGCAGCTTTCAAGTCAGCGCAGGGGAGCGAGGGAAGCGAGAGAAGCGGGTAGGCAGTGTCGGCGTGATGGGAGATGCTTTTTACAACCTGTTACTGTCTTTGGGAGACTTGTTGCTTTAAAGAAACAAAAATACCGTTAGGAAGGTGGTGGTTTTGCTTTCCACAGAAGCAATTGCCATGGAGCAGGTATTTTTGTCCTTCCCACGTTAACAGTATCCTTAATTAGATTCATATTTAGGATTCCTGAGCTTATCAAAAAGTAAAGAGCCATGTATACTGATGTTTTACATCAGTCTTGCTATGTTCCAGAAGAAGTAGAGTTTTACATTATCCAATCCAACTGATTCCAAACCAACCATCAGTATCATCATAACTTTTATTGAAAATGGTCATCCACCCCTTATGGACCAATGGCTCTATGTGTTTTTTAGCATTGCATTTCTTGTGTTTGAACTGTTTGATTCTCTGCTCGGTGTTGGCAAATTCAACAGTTGTGTAAAGTCGAGAACTATGTGTTCTACACAATTGAATTGAATTTCAGGTTGTTACAGAAATGTGGCTTCACATCTTGCTTTCTCTTTCCTCATTGCTTGCTTGCTGTCTAAAGGTTAGTAGTAGTAGTAATTGCGAGCTCCTACTTGAGAGAGTGAGGGCTTTTTACCACCTTTTTAATTTTTCAAGTGACTGGATTGATGCCAACAGTCATCAGCCACTTATGAAAAACTGTTCTCGACTGTCTGTCATACAAAGATTGCATCAGAATCAGAATCAGAATCAGAATCATTTTTATTGCCATGTAAGTAACAGGAGGTCACAGACTAGGAAATTGCTTTGGCTCAGTGCAACAGTCAAAAAGAGATAATAAAAATAAGAATAAAAAACACTTCTAAAGAATAAATTTAAATTTAAAATAGAGTTACAGTTACTATTTACAATATACAAGTGCACATGGTGCACACAATGTAAGGTGACAGCAGTACAGTGAAGTAAAGTGACGTATGATGGGCAGTAAAGTGACTTTATAAAGGGCGGGGGGACAGGTTAAGAAGTGTTCAAGAGTCCAACAGCAGAGGGGAAGAAACTGTTCTTGTGGCGGGAGGTTCTAGTCCTGATGGACCGCAGCCTCCTGCCTGAGGGGAGTGGTTGGAATAGTCCATGTGCAGGGTGAGAGGGGTCGGCTGTGATACGACCAGCCCGGCCTCGAGCTCGGGCGACGTACAGGTCCTGCAGCGATGGAAGGCTGCGGCCGATCACTTCCTCTGCAGAGCGCACAATGCGCTGTAGTCTCTGTTTGTCCCTGACTGTGGCTCCAGTGAACCACACGGTGACGGAGGAGGTGAGGATGGACTCGATGATGGCCGTGTAGAACTGCACCAACACCAACAAGCATTTTAAGAAGTTTAAATACAAATCCTTAGTCTCTTGGAAAGAAAGCCTGATCTATTTACAGGTACAGACAAACTTGCCCTCAGGTTATCTACATGAACTATGGGATTTTCTTGGATAATTCATAATTTTTATGTATTTTATTCGAAAAGTGCTCATCCTCTCTTATTCTGTTACTCACTAACTTTTCAATTATATTTGTTGTTTGCAAATTTGTGATTTTTTTTGTTAACCCTTTAGGGGCTAAAGTTCATTCATATGATCCGAAACATACTCAAGGTGGAGCCCTGGAACTTTGTAATAGAGGAAAGTAGGGCTGGGCGATATGGCTGAAAACTATATCACGATATAAGTCATTCATATCGGTCGATAACGATATATATTGAGTTTTTTTTTTTACCTAAATAAATATATTTGTGGTGTGGGCTAACCAACCTTAGCAGCCTTGTTTACAGTCACGGGGCGATGAGGCTGGAGAAATATGTTCACACTGTGTCCCTCGTTGTTAGTCCTGGTTTAATCCTGGTTTTTTATTCCTGGTTTAGCTCCTGGTTTAGCTGTTTGAGGGTCTTGTGTCCCCGTGACCGCTCCGTGTGGCTCTCTGTGCCGCACATGCTTCCCGAGGAAAAAGTTAATCTCTTGCTTTCGCCGAATACATCGTGTCTGACCACTGCCTCTGCCGCCGCACATGTTATTCCGCGCACGTACGTGCACAACCATTGACACGGCATTGAAACACGAGCTATAGATCCATGGACGCTACGCATGCTGCGGTTGTTGTTGTTTTTGCATTTCCCACAAAGTTTTGCGGTTCCTGCTTGGCTGTTATTGGTCGAGAAGCCTCCGCCTACATCCCCCACAATGCCATGCGCTTATGAGTCGGCTTTACTTCCGGTGTTTTCTTCCTGTTTTTCCTGACGGAGTTAAGTTAAACTATCGAACATTCTATCGACCCCATTCTCTATTGATATCGAACACATGTCTATCGCGATATATATCGTTATCGTTTTATCGCCCAGCCCTAGAGGAAAGGATTACTTAAATAAATATATAAAAGAAAAAAGTAAGTCAAATGTAGGGAAACCTTTGTGGGAAGCCAGATTGTTGCACAGAAAGTGTGCAAATCAAAATGTCGAAAATGTACCAAAATGTATTCAATATTTCACAACTGAGATACAGTGCTGTTGAGATCCAACTGCAGATGGCACAGTCTCACTACAGTCTCATTCATGGAATCAAAGTCTGGTTGGACTGATCAGACTTGTCATAACAACAATTTGACATGTTTCAGCAGAGAGCTTATAGTGCAGCCCAAACTGTCAAAGGTGTGATAAAGAAGCATATCTTTTGTTAGCCTTTTCGTTGTTGCCAAGCCTCTGATAATTCTCTGCACCACTGCCCCCACTGCCCTGAGAGCTCTGAAGGGCGCCCAGGTGCCCAAGAGCCCTGTGTAATGAGCGCTAATGAGCCCATTGACGAGCTCGGTGCGACCTGATTGGTGGTGGAGGCCCTTGCTGCGTACTCGCTGGCACAGATCGGCGGACCGCTGGATCTCTGCCCCGCCACAGCAGCCTCATGAAGTCTGTGTGAATCAGTTTCCTGTGAGATTGATTTATAGTGATAATATAATTTTCCTCTATTTTTGAGTCTCATCATTATTTTATACATGCATGCATTAGGCCATGTATTTAGAGCCAAGACATTTGTATACAGTACATGCAAAAATCTAGTTTTGTTAAGCTTTGTAATGTAATATTTGGGCTACACAAATATTAAATCAATCTAAATGAGTATTTCACAACATGTGAACAAAGTAAGGAAAGAGTCTAAAAGCTGCTGAATCTGATCCAGGAGACACTTGCAGGTTATTGCTGAGCTCTGTGTACGCTGGTTCATCATGGATTCATGTGAATAACAAAAGTAATGCGGGTCCAATATAAACTAAACTAGTCTGTTTGCTTGGTTCATGTGTGCGTCTCATGAAGTTGTCCTCAGTCACCACCAGTTTGTTTGGCTTTAGGTTGTGTGTGGGCCGCTGCATTTACTTGTGTGTGTGTTCACTTGAGAGCTTGTCAGAAGTTCAGCTGATCTCTTGTAATGCGTTATAAATAATAATGAGCAATGTATGTGAACAGAACCGAACTGAAACAAGAGCGGAAGCAAATCTAGTGTTCACTCAAATCCCATCAGAAGCTCAGTAACATGTGTGAAAACGGCCTTACCTTGCAAGTTGTACATGCAGCTTGCAGCGTCATGCATCCAGACGTGATTCAGATCCCCTCCCAAATTGAGTCAATATTTCACTGGGCCATTGTACATGTCCTGATAAATTGTTCCAACATTTTGAGTTACTTTGCTTGTAGACAAACCTCTGTGATCCCTTTAACTCCTAGACAGAGGTAACAGATCATTTGAAACTGTTGAGCGAATCATGTTAAACCTTAGTCCTTCCCCTTTCACTCTCAGCCAAACACATTGTCAGATAAGCAGCTGTCAGGAAGCAGCCAACATTACAAAACAAGTAATACACACCGACACGCTTCAACAGGTACGCTGACCAACGGCTTCGTCTCACGCTAACTTCACCTATTCCCCAAGTGCTGTGGCGGGTATAAAGCATCCACTTTATTAGTGCTTGTCAAAGCTCTATGGCTGTTGTGGATTTATGATGGCTCACCGATGGATGTCCCGTTGTAGTGGCTGTCGGATGAGGGATACTGGTCTCCCTCTTCCTCCCTCCCCTCCTCCTGTCCCCCTGTCATCGCGGTGGCAGCGGCAGACATCTGGACCACTGTCACGGTTGACACGGTTGGTTGACGAGAGCTGACAAATCCCCATGGAACAGGCAGACGGGAGGAGAGAGCCTGCGTTTGGTGCTTGTGCATGCAACATGAGGCTCAGATTAAGATTAATAGTGCCTCTCAAAGGAATTTAAATGATCTTTATGTACTGTATCGAATGTAGTCGAATCGAGTAGTTAGATGGGTGGGGAAGTTTCTTCAGAGATTGTCACAACTCCATGACCTAGGTTTGCTTTTACACCTGTGCTTGTATCTAATGTTCCAAGAGTTTCATTGACTTGAAAAAAAGTAAATAGATTGTGCAGTACCAGCTCTGTATTCATTGGAGCATTCACACTTGTGGATTTAGTGGACTTAATTTACCCCTAGTGAACCTAGAATTTGTCCTAAATGAACCAGAATTTACTTAAATTGTAATGTGCACCCTCTAGCTTCACTTTCACAACTTTGCTTCTCTATTATGCTATTATTAAAAAATAATATTTGTTAGTATACTAGATTAAGCTAGAGATCTTATACTTGCTTCTTTTTTATTCTAAAATTGAAGATTTTATTTTATTTTAGTCTAGAGTTATTGTTCACTCATCTTGTGTTGTGTGTTCCTCATTCCTGCTGTGATGCAACAGTGAAATGTCCTTCCTATAGGAGGAATAAAGGATCTCCTAATCTTTAGAGATCAGAAAGAAGTTTACCATTGCGGTAAAGCTCTCAACTGCTAGCATGCTAACAGTGCACTTCATGTTTCTCAATCTTTCCACAAAATGCAAGTATGTCTTGCTATTTGAGACACCTATCCTCCTTGTATAATGAAAATCTGCCTTCAATAGAAATACTCCCTGTATTCCATTTTATAGGCTGTGATTTTTCCTGTATATTGATATAAACTGCACTTTGTTGGCGTTTTTCCTCTGTGAGTTACAAAACACAGCCTAAGTGGGGAAAGAGAAGGTAGAAAAAGCACTAGCTTCTTTGTAACTGATCATATTACTCAGACTCTTAAAGAAAACATTACTGCGGCTTGTTCATTTCAAAGGATTTCTGTCTCTAGTCGTATTTTGGTATTAGGCAAGGGAGCAACTTGTTAAATGTGCAAATATGTATTTTTATTACCTGACCCGATGGGAATAATGCGAATTCAGAAATAAAGTAGCGGAGGTGGAGCTCAGAGTAGATCTGTATTAAGCCCTCCCCTGGTGGATTTACTGAAATACCCCTGAAAGAAGAGTGTTTATCACTGCTCGCCCCAGGCACACTCTAATGCTGTATAAAGTTGCATTGTAATGACATATAGAAACGGTGATTACAGCCTAATTCAATTGCTCCCTAATCTCATTTCCATAATGGCCTTTATTTGGAACCTCAATTTATTGTTTTCCCAGAAATCATTATACAATTTGGCGTTTAAATCCATTTTGAATATGCGTGGCCACTCTAACAGTAAGGCATAGGAACAGATGAATGAATATCACATCTAGAGAGTGTGTAAGTGCAAAGTGTGAACATATGACACAATGGACTATAGGAATTTGTTTTGAGACACACTAATGTAAGGGACAGATGGGACACAACCAAAGATTTAACCAAAGCACAAAATCATGCTAAGTTTGAGAATATAAAAAATAATCAAGCTGTTCTTTCAGATTCTAAAACAGGAAATGATCAAGTAAATATTGTAAATATGTTTGATGTCCAAAAATAATGCCTACCATTTCTTCTTTAATGGTGAAAAAATGTGGATGCCTCAAACATGCAGAAGTAGAAATGAGGAGTACACAATACAAGATAAATTGACAAAAACTATATACCAAAATGAAATTAAATCTTTATCATATAATCTCAAGGTTTAGTATATTAAAGCAAGTATAATATGGTTACATGTCTGTATAAAGTAAAGGCTAATCCACACAAATTAATTAAAGTAATCTTGTCTCTACAAATATTCCAATTTATTCTGAAAGGAGAGAGGTCTTTTTTGTTCTTTTGCCCATGTTGCATCGTTCCCTCATGAAAAAACAGCATCAACATCAAAAGAACATTGTTTTTTTTTTTAAAGAAGGGATTGGGATAGTAGATAAATGTGTGTGGATAAACAACTTGATTGTACATGAGAATGAGTTTAAAATGAGTTTAAAATTGTTTTTTCACAAAAAGCCCACTCTGATGTAAAAATGGAATTTGCATAATACAACAAACATTTCCAAACACTTACCAAACATCCTTTAATTCTTGCACATAAAGTCTTCATCCTCTTAGGGCCTGCAAAGCCTTTTTTTGTCTGCCATGGACTGACCTTTAAGAAAATGTATGTAGATGAATAATTAAAGCTTTTATCATAGTGGCTAATGTTACCACAGTCCCACCACACGGCCTTATAGTCTTTCATGGATCCCTGGTCGATATCACAGCGCGGTGCGGCCAGGACCTTAGAGATAAGCACTGGATATTGCATTTAAAATCCCTTTCCATTCTATTGTATTCGCTTTTCTCTTTTGATATAATTTCATTTTGTTCTGCTTGATTCTGCCCTATTCTATAAAACATGATCCTCACCCGTGTCTTCAAAAGGTTCTCAGCCGCAGAAGTATGCAGAGGTGAACTGTATTATATATCCTCTTAAGAAAGCACTGGAATCAGTCGTGCATGATTGCGTCGCGGTGCCTCGGAGAGCAGGAGAGAGAGGGTTATCCATGTAGAAACAGCAGATATCATAGACCGAGCTCTGTCATGCAAAAAGACGGGAGAAAGTGCCAGGGCTGTCTTTCACCCAGAGAGTTGGCCGGCCAAAATCCAAGAGTGCAGGTGAATTTAACTAAGGATTTCCAAAAAAAACTTTAAAGTTTAGTATGTATGTGAAAGTTGGTGTTTGAAAAGTCTGTCTTACATGGTCATAGGATAAGATTAGATAGACTTTATTATTCTCACACTGGAGAAATGTTCATGTCACATTGAGTCACTCAGAGCAAAAAACAAGTGTGCAAACATATTAAAGGTTAAAAATATAGTCTGTGCAGTATATAATTATGTACAACAAAAGTGGCTGTAAAAGAAAGAGTGGCAATAGCAGTGAGGGTATTTTCAGTCCTAGTGCATTAGTGACTTAAAATGTCATGTTGTTGAGCGTCAGAATCCAGGAGCAGAATCCAAACAGTTGACAGTGGAGCGTGTTCGTACTACAAGAAAGAACTTTTGTATTTTGGTCTGTGGTGTTAAACTGTGGAATGTGAACTTATTATCTCTTCAAATGCTCATTTAAATCACAGACGTTTTTTTTACAGTATCAATATGAAGAACTGAGATGAGACTGGACGGATGTGTGTATTTTATGGAAAGTTTTGGGAGCTTGAAAAGGTGCTTGATGAACTACAGTTACTACATATTCAGTTAGTTAATGTACTGGAAGTTGGACAATTGTGATAATGGTGTTTTGCAATAGGGGTGGGATTGAAAATGTGCTTAACTTTAGCCTAAATTTACAGCTTAACACCTGATGCAGAAGATATTTGTATCCTGGTAAATATACTTGTTTTTTATTTTGTGTTGTCTGATTAAAGACCATTAATATACTTTAAAAGGACGGTTGTAAATATTTCAATCACAAAAAACAACATAATAAATTATCCGCCGCACCTTTCACCAGGAAATGTATATTGTGCACAATGAACATGCTCGAAAGAAACATTTTCTTGTTTCTTTTTCAACAAGGAAGAAACAATTTCTTCCTTGTTGGTCTGGCCAGTGAGATTATAATCCCAATGCTCTTCCTAGCTCAACCAGCTCAATGGAATACTTTTTGGAACGTGAATAAAAAATGTACACACTGTCCACACACGCTTTGGGCAAAGTTTAAATCAAATCAAAAAGTCACTGGGGAAAGAAAACTAGGATCCATCTTCCATTCAAGCGTGGCCCCTACAATCCAAGCACACACATAGGCCCACAGAGGAGGCTATTTGGACCGAGGCTTTGTACGGGGTTACGGGCAGGCGACGCACTGTAAGACAAGCTCTGGTCCTGTGCCTAGCATGGACTTATGGCGATCTTGGTGACTTGGCCAAGCGTGGCAGCCACAGATCGAGTCGCGTCACCAGGGAGCGGCATATCAGAGGCGCTCAGTGGGGCTGGCACGGCGCGATAGCCATCTTAGGGAGAAGGGTCCCCATGATTAAATCCAGGCTGTTGGATCGCACCCTCTGGCATATGACCACACACGCACATACACACACATTCATACAAAAGATTCAAACCCAGGATCATTAATATTTGCACATTATAACCCTCCTCTTTTTCTCAGACTGCTGCCACCAGATATACCAGCTGGGCCCGCCTATCTATTTCCATAATGCCATCAGAGTGTGCAGATCTGGCCACATATAGCTTCTTGTTTGACACTGTGGTTGTGCTTTCTTCATACATCTAAAGCATTCACATTTATTACACCTTAGCTTTACCCCAAATATCTCTATGAATATACAAAATATACAATATGATATGTCACCACAAAATACAATGTACTAAATCACAATATGTCTTCCTTTTCTGCAAGATATGATAACATGTCAAACTCCGGCTTGTGGGCCAAAGCCGGCCCCAAGACAATTTTTAGTGGCCCCTGAAATTATATTTAAATATTAATAACCTGCAGCATTGATGGTTATAGGTTTACCAAGCCGTGCTTTACATATATTTTTTCAACAAAAAAACATTAAATTTATTCTAAAATTTCATCCCAACACATCATTAGAAGTTAAATAGTTAAATATAAAACAATATGTTGAACTTTATATTTGATCCTTAACTCTAAACAATAAACATATTCTGTGAAAAAAAAAAAAAAAAATATATATATATATATATATATATATATCTATATATCAAAATACCTTTTTAATGAAATAATTATAAGAAAAGGAAATCCCTTCTATTTCAGCCAGTCTTTTTATCAGGCTCATGACCAAAATGAGTTGACCCCTGCTTTAAACCATTAACAGTCTCCAATGATATTAGGCAAAAAAAAGC